AGCCATATGTACGGTCTCCGTAAGGGCGTAAGATCGAAGATGGACCGGGCGTAGATTTCTCACTGATATCGAATGTAGGGTTTGAGCTTTACTTTAGCCCTTGGAATTGTCAGATTGGCGTTGTATTAACGCCATTAGAATAACCTCCTGAACCTGCTGCGCCATATCCTCAAAGTAATAGTGTGCTAAATATCTGGTCGAGTGAATGAATGAAACTTGTGAATTCAAGAGTGGTAAACTTAGCTATCTTATTTTTGAAAGAATATCACCGTATTAAGTACATTTTAATTCACTGTCCAAAATTAGTTGCTGAACTAGACATTTCAGGTGCAAATGAAAACCATGAGGACATCCATGTATCGGCTTCTGACTGGCCAGGAAACTCCAAATTTTATTTAAACGTTTATTTCCTTCTAGTCTTGATAAACAGGGCTGATTGTTGAATGGATATTTACTTCTCATGTTACATCATGCGATCTACTTATTTTTCGGTTCTGTTTTTTATGTTATTGTCCAGTAAAACTGACTGGTGCGAAACCTATCGACGCGTGCTTCTGCATCAAGATGCATCTAAGCGTCATATACTGGTTAAAGTTCATTCGTGGCGGGTGAACTGCCTTTCAGTCACGGTGTATTTGAAGTCAAACTGATCGTTCGTAAATAACTCGCGATTTGCGTTGTGTGCACGAGGAATGAAGTTCTAATTCTTAGCCATCAGAATTACGTTCTGATACTCTCTTTGACCTAATAGCAAAACGCATTTATTTTCTTACTTTCCTAGGTAGCATCATCCATTCTGTCTGTGTCGATGCTTATTCAACGCTTAACATTCCTTAAAGAAACAGGCCGAATTTTATCATTCATTCCAAAGTTGATACTTCGCTCACAGATCACTGATCAGTGCAAAATGTGGGGTTAAGGGCCCAGAGAATAGTTCTGTATAATTATTTTGTCGTTAACTTCACAGTCTGATCCGCTTTTTCTGGTTCTCAGATGTACCAGTTTCATACACCTGATATACAGTCTTTCGTGCGATTTTCACAATGCCACTGACATGGGTGTTCAGGTTCACCCAAGCCGGTTCACTACGTGTTTGGAAGTGAGGTGGAAGTGCACTCTTGTGAAGAACAGTCGTAAACTGGTGCCTGGAGCACATTGCCCAACGTTGTTTTATCCGTAAAGGCGTTTCTGTCATTGAATGGAACTATACAAATAACCTCATTGTCCTAGTTTTCCTTGGTCATTCTCAGCCTTCTCTTATGCCCAAAGTGAGCTGTGCTTGATTTTCTAGCAGAATTTGGAAACTACCACCGTAATGCTGTTCAATGAATATGCAGACACTTTTGTAAGGTAGGAGTATGTAGAACCAATGTATTCGGTCGTTCCATACATGCCGCTTGGACCGTAAACCCTCTATTTTGCCCCCTGCTCGGTAAATGCTCTTCCGCACTGCACCAAAATTCGATCTATCAATCGCGTTTTCTGCTGATGCTCTTGTATGCAGCTGAGGCATTAATGCTGCAGAAAGTGGATGTCGGCAACTTGCAAGTGAGGAATCAGAGTCTTCTGCTCTTCATCTGTGGCACAGCTTCATCCGAAATTGCAGCTGCCGCTGAATTCATTGACCTTCCATCATTTATATAACTGTCGCAAGAGCTACAGTACATAGGAGCAACTAACAGAGAAACAGATTGCGAGTCGTGGACCGGTGAATGATATGTACCGCATGGTATTCGACTGACGTGTTTACACAGTGTCCAAGAGGTTTGCTTCAGACTGGGTAAGTGCCGGGATGGATTCCGCTCTAAGGTAATCATAGTCTTATTCACGAACTCCCCTAAGCAAGGAGTTTACCATACATTGCTTCCAACCGTGGTTTCTCACTCGCTAGAGCGTCGAGCTCAGAACAGATGGGTACCGAGTTTAAACCCCTATCAAAGTCACTAATAAATGGGTACTACTCTGTGGAAAGGGAACAGGAGACTGCACCTTCCGCTTACCAATGGCAGTAGACTCGGCTTTTAAAATAAGGCACTCCTGGCTGATGGCGTAGAAACGCAGATCAACATCGCACCATAAACTTAACGAAAAGGAGGGCGCC